AGGAGAGGAGAGGAGAGGAGAGGAGAGGAGAGGAGAGGAGAGGAGAGGAGAGGAGAGGAGGAGAGATTTCAAAGTTGCCCCATTATCAGCATAGAGGGAATCACGGAGAACTTGAGAAGAAAGCTGATAATCCTCAATAAGGAGGGGGTTTTTCCTTAATTTTTCCGGTTTCCTAAAAAGGTCTGGGAAAGTTAAATTTCTACAGCATTTTCCTTGTGGTGGGCCAAAATTACACAGTTTGGTAGAGCTATAGTTAGTAGAAAACCAAGGAAAAGGAAAGAAGAGAGAAAACTTTAAAACCACCGTTGTGGATCCCCAATTCTGTATTTGCTTATCAGCACTAGGCACAAGGAACCTTAGACCCTCAGTCAAGAGCTCTTTCAATTCTTTCTTTTTTTTTGCTACATTACTCGGGAATGAGGTGGTAGGCCTACAACCACAACCGTATAAATGAAGGAGGAGTCTATGAATACAGAAATAAATCCTTAAGGAGGTGGATCCTTGAAATTCCCAAGCGCATTTCCTTCTAGAAAGGCAAGACAACCAGAATCAGGGTGTCTTAGAAGGTCTGTTTTCTAACAATCTATGATGTAATAATAAATACTTTCTAGACCTGATTGTGTCTTTACTGACATTGTTTTGAATGGTGCTGAGTCATTATTTTTCACAGAAATTTATTATTTTTACATGGTTTGTGCAATTTTGCAGTGAAGAACAGGATTTTCCTGGTGAGGTTGGAATGGGATTCATCCTCCAAATAGAGTTTGCTGGTTATAGCATTCACCCCAATCATGGAGAAGCCAGTTCAAGTCCCTGCCTGATCCAGGGTAGGTACTTGAAATCAGATATTCCATATCCTAAAGAACTGACCTAACTGGATTGCTACCAATTCTTTGATTTGCCTTTCTGTTTCATACTCACATTTTATTCACAAAAAACCTAAAAGGTCTTTTATGCAGAGGCAGAAAGTAAGAAACAGGACATTTTGTACACTAAAATAATCATGTTCTCCAGTTAGCACCGTTATTGATATTTTATTGTGAATTTCACATAATATAATGCAAGTACAGCCCAACTATACACAGGAATTCTTCTATGTTTGGGAACTACATTCTTCAGGGAACTCCTGTTGTTTTACAAACAAGAGTCACCATACCTCTGAGACCTGGATATTACTAGACCCGATTTACAGGTGTGCACTTAGAGACATTGACAGGCTTGATTTTTCCAATGTTAATGTCATTGAGGAACTGCAGGTTTTCAGCATCTTTGAAATCCACCTTCAGTCATTTTCCCGAGGGACATCAGTCACTGGATGAGCTGGCAACAGAACCTAAGAGTCATGACCCACTCCCCTCCTCGGGCTACCTGAATGCTGTATCCCAACAAATACATTGCCCAGAGGCCCGAGTTCGTTTCTGTAGCATGTGCGTCAGAACACTTACTGTCATGAGCAGTTTCTCCACACAGTCAGGGGACACACTGTGCAAATGGGTCAAATGAAGCTGGAGATGCATTTTGTTGCTGAGGACGTCCTGGCAGAGGGGGCAGCAGATAACAGGTTGCATTGAATGCTGTGACAGGACATGCATCTGGATACGATTTGGGTCCCTACTATTGTAGTTACAATAAGGACATTGATAGAACTGAAAAAAAATCAAATTAAGATGCAGGCTATTAGTCAATGTGCTTTTTATAACTTGCTGATATTGCTATTTTAACAGCATATCATCTGTTTCATTCTTGAGTTATTTGAAAGAGTTCTAGAATGCAATTAAATTGTTACATTTTCCTTTACCTGCTCATGACAAAATTTATTGTCCTCTGGAGGCTTTGATTTTTTAGCTGCACCATCCTCTTCTTTTGCCAGAAGAAGCTGTTGTGCCCCTACCACAGTGTTCACTTTTGGTTCCTTCTCTGGTGTGACTATTCCTGTTCCGAAAACATAATTTTTAAGAGCACATTTTAAACTTTAAAATATCCTAGTTTACAAAGAGGCTGTGATTCCAAAGGTCTGTATTGTCTTTGAGGGTCTTTTTTTCTTTTTTTAAGTTCTGAGAAAAAATATAGTTGAATAAAAAAATTCTGGAATGCACAAAGGTGAAAATACACTTTTATCCTTGGTGGAGACTCTGTAAATACATTTAAAAATGGACTCTCCTCTACTGTTTAGATAACCTTAGGTTGCCTTTAAAGATTAATCAATAATGTGCTTTCTTTAGCAGCTCAGTATGAATTTGTGTATTACATTAAAACAAATCGTCTTTTGTTTAAAAATCCTGTTTTCCAAAATAATTAATTTGCTGCTGTTTAATTACCCTCTCGCTCTTCTAAACTGTCTGAGCAATATGATTATTGTGCTGTTTTGATAACTCCTGCCTGGTTACAATTCTGAAGCTAAATATAGTGAGGCTTTAAAAGAAATACTGTGGAGAGTAGGATTTCAGAGCTAACTTAATATTAATTATATACAAAGATCAGTCATTTGTGATTGCCTTAGATGTTTACACTGTGAATTTTTATAGTCTGGCATTTGTGATCAAACCCAGAATATAATTGTTTTCTATAGATAGTTCTACTATTAAGTATTAAATACTATATTTAATATTATGCCTGAACTAGCTGTGTAATGCGGCCCAGTCTTGCACACATCAAAGAAAAGAGTGCAATTCTAATTTCCCAGTCCATCAGAAAATTCTTTCCAGCGTCAATTTGCCAGATAATCTCTTCTGCTAGGCTGGATATTACAAGAGCATTGGGTAGGCATGTCACATACATCTCACGACAAACACAAAACCTCATTTACCAACCATTCCAATCTCATCATAGTGCGGCATCATCTGACCTTTTTTCTGCTGTTTATTATGAGTATTTCTAATTTTAACTTTCAATTTTCACCATCTTCCAGTCAATTTGCAACTAAATTATTTCCAGGGTGAGGACACTATCACTGGACACTGGGTGCAAATACATCTTGAAATGCAATGAAGCTAAACCATTGATTGCTATCAGACCCAACGTAAATATATAGTCCAGGGGTAATCTGATTGTATGCTGTGCATGAAGATTTATCTTGATTTTTTTCAACCCACATAAGGTTCATATAAATGAACAAATTGCATCTCATTGCACAATAACCTAGGATTAATTTAAAAATAAGGTCATGGATGTTTTGGCAACAAAGTAAACATGAACAAAGAAAATACCTGTATTTTTCTGTAGACAAAACCAAGAACTTTTTATTATTATTATTATTTTCATATAGACTTTGTGCAATATTTGGTATTGAAAGAGCAACGTTAAAGAGAAGTAAAATAAGAGAACAGTTTTCAAGGTAAATACCAGATCCTTATGGTACAATAATAAACAATTGAAAACTGAATCATACAGGGACATTTTCTGAAGGGCGTTTTTAAAAAAAACATAAACATATTTTATGACTTATACATTAATGGTGATTTCCCCACACATTTTCATTCCTAAGTTGCTAATTATTTCTTTTGGTGTAATTTAGACCAATAATTTTTGCTTGTTCTTGCTTGAATTAAAGTTTATTTCTGCCATATTTCCCTACTTTTAATGACCAATTTGTCAACATTGGTTTAATATCTGAACAAGCTGCTTTCTGGAGCCCCACTGAATTTTTACACTCTCAGGAACTGATCCTGGAGGCCTCATTTAGACTGCTCAATCAGTGCTGTGCCGATGTCCTGAAGGACTAACGATGCTTAAAGGCAAAATCTACATGATGCAATCACATAAGGCACCATTTTATTACTCACTTTGGTTTATGATAATACAGTACTCCCTAGCCTATCTGTATTTACTTGGCAATACACCATTATTATTTAAATTTATTATTATTTACTGTGAGAATTATGGGAAGTAAAAAAGTTACATACTATATTAACAGAGAACGGTTGCTTCTCAGGTTTTAGAAGGATAGGTTCAAATTATTATCACAGATAATAATTCAAATTCAAATTATTACCATTGTTAACTTCTCTTCATTTCCAACTGTCAAAAACATCTAATGGTTGACTACTGTTTCTTACCTTTATCATATGTCACTTTTAAAATGTACCTTTTTAAACACAAATGCGCCAGGATCTCAGCTGGTGTAAACGGACACTACTATACAGGAAGATGAATTTAAAAGCCAAAATAAAACAATTCCACCTTATCTTTCCCTCATCATGCTAGATTGTTCTCAACAGGTTGTTACAGAAATTAAGATCCAAATTTTGCTCCAAAATCCACTTGTGAAAATACATTTAACTGTGTTTTGGCAGCGGTATTAACTGCTAGTGAAATTCAGCTTGGAGTGTACTCTGTGTGTGCCTGGGCACACACAAGGTTAATATTACACATCATCTTCCACCACAGGATGGAATAACTTAATTACTTCAAAGGGCCTATAATAATCATGAAACACATAGTTCTTGTTTCTATAAAAACAAGGGGGTTTTTTGGTTAAAGTTTCTTTTGCGGTTAATATAATAAAACCGTGGAGTTATAAAACACTGTGCTGGGGTCAATAAATGCATAACAAAGCACAGCTTTTTACTATGTTTACTACGATATTTATATAAACTGTCGAAATTTACAGAGGCTTTGTTGTTTTTGTTTTGTTGTTGCTCTGGATTCATTCAACCTCAAGCACTGTTACTTCTTAAACGACCGAAGTTACATCTGGCCTATGGTAAAGTAACCGAGTCCGTTCCGTGACTTATGGTGAGCTTCGAAAAAAAAAAAAAAGGGGGTTGATTCTTCCCTCTGGCATAGGGATGCCACTCACCCCTGCATGTGGTGAGGACCAAAACCCCCAGGCCGGAGCATACGTGCCAAAAACAAAGGAGATCGTCTCCTTACGCAAGCGAATGGTCCAGCTATTACAACTCAGTGCCTTGTCTTGCTGTATCAACTTTCTGCTTTCCGTGTTGAATTCACTGCTTTAAGGAGCTTCCTGTAGGGAGGCTGAACAAAGTTACGGTCTTACAGGAAGGGTATTGAAGGAAGAGGGAGAGAGGAGAGAAAATATTATGGTCCTGAGCATGCCATGTGGCCCTGTTTTCGTAGTTGGATGTTGCACTGGCATGCTATTCTTACTAGGCAGCTGTAGGAAAAGACTAAATCCAGTTGTTAGTCACGTTTTAAATACGCACTTTTTATTCTTGTGACACATTATTTGTCGGGTTTTTTCCTAATTGTGAAACACAACTGTAATTCATTTTATAATATAAAATACACAGCATTATTTTAGATGAATAATGTAATTTCAATACATTTAGCTCAAAAACTAAGTTTAATTATAAATAAGTGCCATGAAATAGACTAGTCAATGATTGCCTGGCAGTTAGTTACAGAATTATTTAACTTGTGTAAGATTGCTAATATAAAAATGACATAACTCACTGTAATTCAGATGCCACCACCTTCGTAACATTTTTGAAACCCCAAAACAAAAATGAAAATGTTTGTGTGACTAACAAGAAGGAGAAAGTTAATAAAATATGTATACTAATGAAAAAAAAAATCCTGGAAAAAACATAATCAAAATACTGTTTTCTTATTTATGAATCTATGTATTTGATAAAGATTGCATAATTTAAGACTTCTGACACATCCAATGATGTTATTCAGCCTCAAAATAATTCTAAAATTATAATTACTGGTATTCTTTCTAATTAGAGTAGAATGAAAGGATAATTTTCATTGCAATAATGAAGGTTAATTTCCATCCCTCCTCATGTTTACTACCTTATTAAAAAGTGCTCCCCTTAGCCATGGCAGAGACATATTACATTTTCAATGCAAATGTATTAATCTGGATAAATTCCATATTAATTCTTGCACTGCATAGAGCTGTAATTTGGATTATAATTAATCTAAAGTGGCACTAGATTTAAATGACAATATAAATGAGGCATTAGTAGGCTTTTCTATTCTGAATGAATATTCAACAAATATAACTTGCATATTGCCAAGTCTCATTTTGAAAGCTCTACTCCTTGAGATAAGGTAAGCAATACAGCACAACAGCTTACACAAACATACTGCTCCTAAATACATGTTAATCCTTTCTTGTCTAATAGATTCTATGCTAAAGAGGGGTCACACCACTTTCCTGTCTAACTTGTTAGTATTGTGATTAATTTATTGGTTTTCCTGAGATTTCTTTGGCAAGACTTGCAACACTCAATTCATGAGAAAGCCCAAATTAACATTCAATTATACATAAGCAGTTATGCAGTCATTAGAAATACTTGTCAGCTGAGTGAAAATTAAGATGATGGTCTGAATGTTACATATGCAGAACTAATTTAGATTAGGAAAATAAAAGTTTCTAAAAGATTTAGGATTTTACAGTAGAAACTATTTTCTGCAAAGCACAAAGGCAATCGTGTATTTCAGCCCTTGTTTTTATATGAATGTTACTGCAAAATTATTTGTGTAATTGCTGGCACGGGAATGCAGAACAATTATGCTGGTTTTTTTGTAGTGCACCCAGTAGGCATCTGGATATAGGTTTGTCCTAATTAAACTTGGCCCTTACGAGCAGCTAATCCTGATGGAATTTTGAGAATTCCCCTTCAGTATTTTTTTCTAGATTCCATCTTTTTTTTTTGCTGGAGCTTTAATATCATACTCTTTCTTGAACAACTATAGATGGACCTGCCTAAGAAAAAGAGAGGGCTGATAAACTCCCTGAAGCGGTTCACAGTGTCCCCTAGGCAGAGTGTACGGTAGGAAATGCAGGCTGCAGGTGGCTGTCACCCCTCTCCTGGTGAGTGTCCAGGACAGCCCCTGATGAGACTGCACAGGAGGACCTATGTCGGCCTGGGAGCATGGCTTTTCTGCACTGCAGACGGTTTTCACCAAGTCAGAGAACCAGCCAAGGGGGATATATATTTTAAAGCACAACACAGTTTCTTGCTCAACATCATCCTTGTCATCATCGGCCTTTCTTCAGTCTCTTGATCTCAAAAAACAAAGCTACTGAAGAGGAGCTGAGGTTCTAAACTGTGATGAGTACTGACCTTAGCACACCAATAAGCAAACCTAAAGGAAGCTTTAATCTTTAAGTCAGTCTTCTGAATTGATTCAACATAGAAAGGGCCACCTGTGATGTTTTTTTGGAAATAAATCCAAAAATGTTTAATATGTAAAGAGCAAATTACAGTATGGGAGAATTTGAGTGTAAAGAAACTCGTAGGTAAAATGATATTTTCTCTCCAACTATATGTCTTTACAGAGAATACAACCTCCTTTGTATGCTGCTGTCATTGGCATACAAGGAAAAGATATATGACTACCTGAAACTAATAGGCTTCAACCTGTTTCAGCACTTCTTCTGCTTCAGTGAATCCAACATAATGTAACTAGGTATAGCGTGCGGCAAAAGTAGCCAATGTAATATTCATTGTGACCATAGATTTCCATCTCATACATAAAAAGCATGGATGAAGTCACATATTTGCCAAATTAAACACAGAAAAAGCCTTGGGTATCTACACCAGATGCTGGCCCTGGGTTTGTTTGTGCACAAGTAAATGTCATGACATAAGGGTTTTGTTTTCAAAGACAGTAGCTTTCATTACTGGGCTTTGTCTATTCCAGGAGATCAAAATTACCCAACCCATAATCCGTTTTCAATGATATTTCCTCTTTCTTAGGCTGAATCATCTGTAAACTTTTTCACTGGATTTTGTGTATTTTTTTCAAAATGCCTCAAATAAATGCCCAGGAAGAGGCCAGATTCTTGAGAGTAACTGATCAGAGAGCAAGAGCAAAAAATAATAATAACAAAAAAACCCACATTCTTTGGGTTAAAAGGGGGGCAAAACCTGACTGAAGAAAAAATTCAAGTGGTACCTAATCCTATGCTTATGAAAAATTAATATGCCATCAGAGGAATCACAAGTACAGCTAAGATTAATGAAAGGCGCTTAAAAAATTACAAGCACACAAACTGATTTGATTAAAAAATAATCTCACTGGTCGTCCTGTAATATTCTTCAACTTATCCGCATCTATCCTGTCAGATGGTTATGATTAAAAATAGGTCAATGGGAGGCTACTGATAGAAATCACATGCAAAATGCACATGCAATGAATAGTAGTGGGAATGTCCAGACAGTTTAAAATGAAAGAGCATTTCATAAGTTAAAAAAGGGGGGAAGACAAAATTCTAGCTTCTTACCAGAGTCTTTACAAGATTTTTTGCCTTCACTATTGTCTCTCTCACTTGAGTCTTTATCATCAGCAACAGCCACTGATGTACTTTTAGCAGACCCTTCTGTATCTTCACCTTGTTCTTCTGTGGACAAGCACAGAAAGATCTTAGAAAAGAAACTCGGTGACCATTTAACAGCATTTTAAAAATATGTCCTGTAATAAGAACAGCACAAAAAGAGGGTGGCAAAACAGGGGGGCAGAGGGGTGGGGGAAGAAAAGGGAGAGGGAAAGAACAACACTTTAAAGAGGTTGGACATTAATTACGAATAGTTTGCAATATTTCGAAATCTATCCAGAAATTCTGACCGTGTCTTTATCAGAGTACCCGCTTTCCACCAGTGTGACAGATTTAAAGCCTGTCATTTCATATTCTTCGGGTAGAAATGATTTGTGTTAAAATACACGCACATGCATGCACACACACACCACACGGGCCAGAACAAAAGCCAGCACATGTAAAAATGCATCTTGGAGCCAAAAAAAAAAAAAAAGAGAAAAAGAAAAAAGAAGGGGGGGATTCAGCTATAAATCCTATTAGTGCAGCAGTATCCCGCTAATTGCAGTAAGTATTAGGTATTAGGTACTGTATTAAATATAAACCTCTGGCTTTGCGGGAGAAGTCTCAGATTTTGTCTCCAGGGGGAGCCATCCAGGATAAATGATGCAACCTGGTCTATGGCTTCTGAGGAAGCTGTATTACCCACACCTCACTTACGTGTTCACACCAGCTAGATTACACGGAAATCTTCACAGTAACTCAAGCCCATTTAATTATTCGGTAAATCTTAGCTATGCTGCTACTGGTGGATTAATCTGTTTATGCAGTTAGCTTCTATGCTGGGGCCGTGTAGCACTAATCCGTGAAAGGCCCACTGTTCCTTTTCATCCTGTGATCATTTGTCTCTCACTGTGCTGATGTCACATTTTAATGAATTTTTAGCAATCTGAGTAATGCCAGATAACCAGACTTGCAACTCCCTACAGCACAGCATGCTGTTTTCATTGCAGCACACACACAAAAAAAAAAAAAAAAAAAACATATTTCCCGGTTCAGGTAGGAATTACATACATTAGGAGGTGAAGGTAAAATGGGATTCGAAGCACCAGGCTGCTCAATTTCATAAAATCTTTAATGACCATATAAATTAACCCTGGAAAGGCAAAAGGTCACAGACACACATTTGCATACACTCTTCTATTCACTTTTGATAAGCAGAGCTTTTATGTAGGGAACATGATACAATTAACCCTTCAGGAACCATACAAAATGCAGCTACCGACATTTTAAGTGTCAAGCATTAACTGAAAATTACACACTGCATAAAATTTTCATTGTAAATGCTATAGTGATTGAAAGGGGAAATAGTGGCCCTCTTCGCACCCCATGTTTTATTAATAACATTCTGACAGCCGAATGAAATATCCTCTGTCATATGTAGCAGCTGAGCACAAAAAAATTGCTGCTTAGCGCCTTACTTGCCAGCCATGCCCTGAAACTGTATGCCTAGGCAAATAGATGTGGCAAACCTATCCGATTCTCAACTCTCTGCACAACCTTTTGTAAATCAGAAGAGAAAAACACAGCTGCAATTTTGGAAAGCAAACCAAAAAAAAAAAAATCTCAACCACAAATCAATGTGTTTTGCATTGACATCAGAGTAGAATAGGTTAGGACTAAGCATGCGTGTCCACTTTTTGGAACAATACAGGGAGAAAGGTGGTCCCCTCTTTTAAAAATAATTGCACATAAAAAAAAATTTCCATCAGAATAGAAACCCGCCTCGTGCTGTTTCAGCGCTCTCCTCCCTGCAGTCCCCCGCCCCCTCCCGCGATGATAGCTAATCAAACATGGTAGGCATCCCTGTCGCAGCTGGAAGCGGGGCTGTGTTTGTCAGGGTGGCGGGGGAGCGCGGTTCGGGATGAGATCCTGGGAGCCTGTGATCATCCCTGGCCTCGGCTGTGTTAATGCTGAGCGTGCACACATGAGGCTCGTATCCAGTGTCAGGCCCCGTGGCCTCACGGAGAATCCCTTTTCGACTCATCCTTGGGAATGGAGGCACTGCTTCTTTTACTAGATTTACTGGCCCAATCCCCCTGGGCTGCAAAATGAAGTGTCAAAGTGCTACTGAGTGTCCTTATCTTGAGGGGACATAAAATTGTAAGGGCTATCGTGGCACACATTAATAAAACATTGTGTGTGTGTCAGGCAAAGAGAAAGAAAATTATGAAGGTACTAAAAGAAAAGCTACAGTATCATCTGGGTCTCATCAGACAATTTTTGCAGGGTGCTCTCCTGTTTTTCTGGTATGTGTTTTAAGTGTGAGAGAAATTCCCAGACATGTTCTCCTATACATCATCGTGGTGTCTGACCTCAGCCTGACCCTGGCAACAGTTTGAGAAATCTGAATGTGAACAAAGACTCTGTGTCAGCAGCAGGGAGAGATTGCGGGATAGACTTTCCCCATCAACTTAATCGCAAACAGCAGTTCTGAGGCCATAACTTTACAGGGCTCCACCAAGCCACAAACACATAACCTTTAGAGGTGAAACTGCCCCCCGCTCCCCAACCCCCCCTTCTGTGATTTTTCTCAGTCTTGTGGTGCTCCCTTTGATGTAGCAAGGCAATTAGCTCTAATGTTCAAGTACTGCAGACTTGTTTTATGGTTTGGAAGGTGAGAGCTGTTTATTACAGGTAGGCTCCAGGGGGCCATAAAGGCTTTGCAAATTTTTAATCATGCAAAAAACTAATCAAAATGTAACTTATACACACCGTAAAAATTAATATCATTATTATGCATGGTATAAATTGCCTGCCTTGGTTTTCAGTGGCACTCACTTCTAGAAAATACATTTGGCATTCATTTCAGAAATATGTATGGCATTCACTTCAGAAATAAATTTCATAGACAGAAATGATAATACAACTTCTCCTATTTTCCTTCAAAATTACAGAAAGGCTAAGATTCACACTGTCGCGACATTTTTCAAAGGGACAAGATGGAAACACAACAGCTCTAACTTAAAAGCAGCTAGCAAATTTACAAGAAAAATCATGAAGACCATTCATTAGAACAGATATTGAGGATATGTAATGAAGTGTGCTATCAAAGAGTCTGCATACCTGTGCCAAGATGCTACAAACATCTCTTTTTAGTAACATTTTTGTTCTTACTTAATATGCTGACCAACAAGGATACTATTCGGTTATAAATATGTGATGGCTCCTGCTCAAAGACACAAAATTATGAATTATTATGTATCAACAAAATACAGTATGATGGTGCTACAGATTCCAGAACAGGTCCTAATGCTCTGTTTTAAATTTACAAGAGTCCTGCCTGTATACATTTACAAATGTCAGCTCTGAAAATGAATAGAACACTGGGTTCAAATGTACTTTAATGACTTTAATAACACTTACTATTGCAGTATGATATTTTATTCACACCTGGTTTTATTGTGTCCAAATGTTGAAAATTTCTTTTGATGTTGGATCTATTGAGTTTAGCCATTACCAACCTTTTTCCTCACAACTGACTTAGAATTAAACACAAAAATAAGGTTAGCAGTCTGCACTAAAACTGTAATATAGGGGAAAATGGAAAAGTTAAGCTTCAGAAGTAATATGTTAAGCAGCTGATATTGTATGTTATATATTCTACGTTATATACTTTAATATGTTAATCTACACTCTCATTCTATACCGATTTTATGAAGGAAGACCCTTATGACCTTCCCCAGCCCAATGAAGTCAAGATGCGTGATGATTTCAATTGCAAAATCCAGGCCTCAGCCAAAGTTGAATAGCAGATACCAGCAGCAAAATTAGGTTAATATTCATACACAGATTAGAAAAACCTGACTTACTGAGATGCAAATAAAGGAACAAATGCATCCACCATGGCCAAAGGAAGGTATAGAGAAACAAATACTATTTTTTGAAATAAAATACTGAATAGTTAAAACAAGACATGGCCAAGTTGAAACAATCTTCTCTCCTTTAATTTAAATGCATTGTGATAATCATGCAGGCATATCAATCATCTTTCCCTCTGTTTTATCAGAGAAGTTTCCCTACTGATGAGCAGCATTGGGACTCTGTCTTCAAGTCTATTTAAGAAACATATTATTTTCAAGGGTCGATTTTGGTTGGGTTTTTTTTTTTACATCACTGATGTATCAATCAACAGCCAGTAGTTCCTGTTTTGGTCCTGGATTTTGTTGTTGTTGTTGTTGTTATTATCCCTTTTGCCCTCTCCAAAATGCAAGTCATTTCCTAAATAAGGATGATCTACTAGTTGTGGGTGAGTAATTGTGGTTATGAGAGAGAAAGCAAGATTAAGCAAGTGTTTGTGGCTGAGGGCCGGATGGATGGGGAAAGAATAAATCAATTGACTAAAGTAGTAAGTAAATAAATATGAAATGAGAGAGAGATTTTAAAAAATAATTGGGGTTTGTTATTCAATATGTTCAATAAATAGCTGAATCAAAGGTACCCATAAGTCTTCAGTACAGATGTGTCCCAGGTTCAACTGGTAGAGTGAATGGCTTATTGAGATTAACTGTCAGGATGAGAAGGTAAACACTAGCAAAGGATAATGGAAGGGTGGATTGGAGGGATGGACAGAAAACAGATAATGGAGGGAAAGGATGAACAGCTAACAAAAGAAAATAAAGAAAAACCCACAGAATATGCAAGAAAAGAAAAAAATAACTAAAAGCAGGGCTTGTGGATTTACTTCTGGGTTATCCTAGTTACACTACTTAGTCGATAAATTCTGTCTGACTTCTGAATTGCCATTTATTCACCCAAATATTCCAGAAAGTATTTGTTCTATTTTCTGGCTGGTCTTGCAGAGCATGAGTGAGGAACAGGATGCCTCACTCATTCAGGATCTTGACTGCATCCTCTAGTGGTCATATTTCATCTTCAAATAGGATTTCTAGTTTCTTATTTAAGGACTCAAGGGGAATAAAGGCACCAACCCGTTAATAACTGTTTCTAATCACTGTGTTATATTTACATCTATAGCTGTTAGAAGGCTGAACTTCCCGCAAACAAGCCTATAATTAAGTGGTGAT